GAAGAGTGATGCCTCTGTAGTTCTCACACTTGCTGAGACCGCCCTTCTTTGGTATTTTGACCAGAAGTCCTTCTTTTCAGTCTATTGGTGCTTGTTCTTCATCCCAAATCTTGCCAAAGAGAATGATTCGTATCTTTGCATTAACTGCTACATCTGCTTTCAGTGCCTCTGCTGGAATGTTGTCTGATCTCGGCGCTTTGCTGCTCTTGATTTTTATGATTTACGATAATTTCCAGCTCGCTTCTCTGTTGTATCATACAACTGTCTCATGTTTCATTCTCTTGCAGCTTTTTCTGCCGCCATCGCTAGACCTTCCACGTATTTACGTTTGTCGGCTCCGGTTCTCCTCTTTGCTTGCTTGTTTGCTTCAGTGTATTCAGATTGTGACTTCACTTTCTCTGCTCTTGTTTGTCTGTTGTTAATTGCTGTCTTCTTGTTCTTTCTATCTTGAATCTTGTGCACGGTTTCCATGGAGATCTATTCTTCATAATGATGCTTCTTGTGGCCTAGAACCTCATGCCATGTTGAAGTGATTGCGTCCTTGATCCCTTTCCAGTTCTTCATCATGGTAGTTCCCTGTACATTGAGTAGATGGTGAAAGGCCTGTAAACTATTGCTGGGGGCTATTCTGAACCACTTGGGTCTGTCAGTATACCGAAGAAAGTTCGTATTAAACTTTTGTGATGTCCTCTCCGTTGTCCAGTGCTTCTTGAGCTTCAGTTTCATCTTGGCGACCAGTACATGTTGAATTGAGGCTATATCAGCTCGTCTCTTGGATCTGACGTCTCACATCGTCCTCCTGAACTTTTTGTTGATGCAGATATAGTTGATTCGGTTCTGTGTAGTGTCATCCGGTGAAGTCCATGTGGTTTTGTGTTTGCGTGTATGTGGGAGTATAGTGCCGCCTATGACCAGTTTATTGAAGGCACATAGGTTTGCAAATCTCTCACCATTATCGTTCCTTTCACCTAGTTCATGTCGTTCCATGATGTCTTCATATCCGGTTTTGTCCATTCCAACCTAGCATTTAGGTCTTCCATTAAAATGTTCAAGTCCTTTGTTGGACATTTCTCAATGGTTGACTGCAGCCTGCAGTAGAATTTATCTTTAACGTCTTCATTGTAGTCGTTGGTAAGCGCGTAGCATTGGATAACATTCATTGTAATGCCCTCCTTTTTTGTTTTGAAAGAGGCTTTGATGATCCTGCGTCCATAAGAATCCCATCCTATAAGTGCATTTTCTGCTGGTTTGGATAGCATCAATGCCACTCCTTGTATATGTGGAGCATTTTCTTCCTCATGGACGGGGTATGACAGCAGCTCTCTTGAAGCTAGTAGTTGTTGCCAACTTGGGTCTAATGTGTTTCACTGATTTCAAGCACCTTCAGGTTGTATCTTTTCATTCCTGCAGCAACTTGGATGATTCTCCCGGTCTCCCACATTGTACGAGCATTCCGTGTACCTAAATTATTGATCGCTTTGGTTGTCAGAAGGACCATCAGCGTTGTGACTTCCGAAGGAACTCGACTTTCAACATGAAACATTACAACTCTTCTAAATGAAGACCTTTCAACTGCCAAGGCAGAGATTTTTTTAGCTATTTCATTTCCTACGGGATGGGGTCACTAACCTCATACCCAACCCTCCTCCTTCATCAGGGCTTGGGACCGGTAGTAGCCACAAAGAGGCTCCAGGTGGAGTTTTAAGAATGATACAAATCACTTTATCTATTTGAATTTATAGTAGAATATTTTTAAAAGCGTAAAATATTTTCGTAGAGATAAACGTACTTGGATTTGTTTGGAAACTTAAATTAACATGAATCATATTTCTCCATGTTTCTTGAAGTTACAATTATAAGAATACTGAGAATCACACAAACTAGAAACTCTTCATCAATAAACTATTTACCATTTATAATACAAAATAGACAAAAATCGACAATCATTTTCTTGTTATGAGTTGGGTTTAAAATTTCATTTATTGAAAGATGCGTAAGTCAAGAGAATACGATTTTTATTAGAAAATGGATTAAAATTAATAATGATTTTAGAAAATTTGTTGATTATGCTTTTAATTAATTTTATAATGAAGAGAATATTTGTAAATGTTCATGTATTCCTTTGTTCAATTATCAAGACATGGAAGTCATTGAACCAGAAGTATGCACCTTCAACTATCGACTTGTTACGTGTAATAATCTAGTAGATTAGCAGAAAATAATGTCAAAATAAATTCTAGTGTGTTTAATGAAAAGGAGAATTATATGAAATTCCTTGTTAAATCTTAAAAAATCTGTTATCGAGAGAATGGTTGGATTATTGTTTAAATAACATTTTACAATAATCAAATAGAATGTTTAAAAAAATGTATTAATCAGTTTGTTCCCGTTTGAACCATCTAGTTGAATATTATTGTTTAGTCTATTTTGTATTTTAGTCCTATTTCAAGTTGAATCTTTTAAATCTTTTGGAACAGTTGTCTATACTCTATTTTCAAGATTATAATTATTTCATACTCTTAGGAAATGTATCATATTATTGATCTTAAAACGTTTAGCAGTCATTTATAAAATTAAGGATGCTTTGCGAAGTTATTTAAACCTGTAATTTTCCCAGAGATCAAGCGTATCATGCTAGTAATCAACTGCAGATTTTTTATACAATTGCCAAAACCATATATATATATCCATTCAACGTTAACTAATTAGATCTAGTCACTATTTATTCTGTTAGAGACATATATTGATTTCTAATATCTGTTAACTTTAATTATCTGGAAAATTTACGAGTCATATAAATACTTCTGTGGCGTTGAAGTATGCTAGCTTGATTGTGAACACTTCTCATTATTCTATGAATCATCATCACCTCCACTGTCTAACATAAGATGGTGTATTGTATTTATTCCTAAACTACTAAGTCGATCTGTTATAATAATCTTCTCTGTCACTAATCACCTGTTTCTAACCTTTGCTCGCCTCTTTAAATTTGTCTACCGTATGGTTTGATATATCAAATCATATCTAACGAATCGATTACCGATTGATGCCATGTATCAGGAAAGTCTCCAACGTGATACAAATTTCAGTGACTCAGCATTTTCAACATTATCTAGATTAAATAAGGTCACTCATTTTTCTGAGTATAACATTTTGTGAGAATATAGTCTTTAATCTATGTTCGTATATACATTAAGGGGATAAATATTCACATTTCCTAAGGCATTGATTCTCGCAGCTAATTCATTTCATTTTATAAATAATAGTGGATTTACATTCCTACGCCTTTACGCTGTTCATCCTCCAGTTTATGATTCGTGTCTAAGTCATTTTCCTCAATCTCTTAGGTACAGAGAAAGAATTAATATCATCATACTGGAAAAGAAGTACATTACTATTACTGTTTTATCCAACACAAGCGAATAAACAATTTACTCATCTTTACTGTTACAAATTTCGTTTACAACAGAATTGTTCAAACAGAATTTAGTCAACAAAATTAACTAATACCGATGCAATAAATAAATAATCCAGCACTGAATTCTTCCAATGATATTTGCTCACATAAATCACCTATTTGCCAATAGTATCTTTACTGTAGGTAAAAAGGGTGTAAAATAAGCATGATTAAATTCCTTTCTCTTCCTATCTCTCTCTTTCTCATGAAAATTATGTACTATGTAAATGTAATAAAAACTTCTACTTAAATTTATAATTCATTCCTTAGTAAATAGTTCAATAATCATTGAACATCTATCCATAACTTTGGTTAATAGTTTAGTTAATAATTCTGTAGTCAATTTGAACTTTACAGAGTAGGAGATATTATTAGCCATTACACGCATTTATCAGTTATATGTAAGTTTACACATTCATTCCTCACATATTTTGTTTTACTAATTATTAAATTATTCAATAGTTCAAAGAAATTAAAGCGCTAACTTTTAATGTAGATGACCTTTATTGAAATAACTATAATGAATATATCAATGCATAATTAATTTTTTATGGTTGAACTTAAACATGACTACTGCCATAAATTAGTAGTATATAAAATGTTCAATAATAAAGTTATGATTTTATAGCTCATGTACTTAAAAACTATGAGATTAAAGAAACATTATATTCATCTGACTCGATATTATGATGGGAAAAATGGGAAGATATGTATGTGAAATTTAGATCAATAAATAAACTTATATATTCCTGAGATATTCAATTGGAAAGTATGTAACCCTACCTTAATTTAGTATGATGATAATCAACAACTGATTTAAATTTCATTTTGTCAATAATCATTTTGCCACAGAATTATGGCACATCAACAGATCGTCGCACAAACGCACAAGACTTAATGAAGTACTTTTTTAGGGACTTGGGTTATTTGCTAAGTTTTGTTTTTAATACGTGTTCACCTATATTTCAAGAATCATCATAAATTGAAGAGCATAGGATACTATGTCGTCTTGCTTTTGAAACGTCAAGTAGTTCGTTTGGCTTGTATTATACACTGAGTAAAACTCATCATCTCTCCCCAAGTCATGTAATGTCGATGATACCTTGGGAAAAACAAGCCAAAAATCAGTAAATTTCATTTCTAAATTCAGACAATTTCAGATACCTTCTGTTCATAGTACCACGTCATATCCTAAAGGAACTGGATCTCACTAAACCGGCCTACTTTATACACACAGATTCATAACATCACTAACCTTCAAGATTCTATGTAATTCTCTCATACTGAAAATTATGTATAACTCATTGGCGAGTAATTTCCAGAAAGTAACGCAGAAATCCTAGTGAGAATCTGTGACTGGTGAAATTCAAAATCAAAACCCAACCACTTAACAAATGTGACAACTGTTTCTTGGTTTTCAATACATACTGTTAGATCAAAAACACAATTCAGTTCACTTGGTTGATATATATATGTATATAAATTTATAACTTGTCTACCGTTCCTTATATTCCTGTTTTTCTTTTCTATTATTCATCGACAGTTTCTATCAAGGTTATCAATTGAGTATGAGTGATTTGAAAAAAGCTACAACCGCTTCCAAGCAAACAGCAGGTTGCTTATTTACAAATTTTGAAGATGTTAGGGTAAGTCAACTTTAATTCTTAAATTCATTTTTGTTTAAAGAAAAACAGAATAAACATTCTGATTTCATGAAAGTTAATATTAATTTCAATTAGTTTACACCTGATTTTGTACATTATTGCTATGCGAAAGGTTCAGTCTTGCTTTATCTTGTTTTGCATATTATGTACAATTACAATTGATTGGTCATTGAGTATTGTTAAACAGCTTGAAACCTAGGTCCAGGTTACCCTGGTGACTACTTCCAACCACCACTTTAATATACATCTGTTTGATTAAAACAATATATATTGGAATTGACTCCAGTATAAATACTACTACATACTGTGTCTCTATGTAGGTATTTGATGCTTATAAGACAAAACGACAATCATAATTCGGATAGTGTTTTTTTAAAAATAGAAATCATTGAAAAAAATAATAACTGGTTATTAGATCAGTGATGATTATAAGGTAGCAAAACATAAATCGTGAGTATTTTCAGCATAATCTCTGTTGTTTGTAAAGTTGGATGATGTTTAGAAGTGGAATCCAGAAAGCTCATTTTATTCTATTTGACACTTGTTACCTGGATGTGTCTGGACTTTAGTGTGATGTTCACACCAAGAATTGAACTCACTAGTTTTCATATCAAACTTTTAGCGTATTATTCACTGAGCTACTAAGTCTAGGTAGCACCTGCCTTGTGCAAAGTGGATGAATCGCATTTACGATACTTTAAATATATATAACAATATTGAGACGATTCATTTGCAACGAGCATATGACAAAAGAAACTGATCAGTTGCAGTCTTTAACATATCGAGCAGAATAAACAAACAAATACATACTGAATATGTTGGTTCGATATTAAAAGAGTGGAGTGGTTGTGTCTGTTGAACATGAAATTTATTCGCGTAGTCAACGGAGAGTAAGTAAATGTGACTAATATGAACAGCTCACCAAATAGGTTTCCGGAAAATTATAGCTCCTTTACGTGTACTGAGTATTTAGCCAACCATATATGGCTATTGGTTATATATCTCTCCTATTAAATCGGTAAACACATTGAATTAAATATTGGTCACAAAAGAATTATCCCCAACCGTTGTTTGTTAAGAATGGCTTCATAGAACATCTATTTCAATAGAAAGTTGTCTTTGTGACAGATGTCAAACCATAACAAAATGTTTATAAGGGAGCAACTCTATCTTGCCCCTTTTTTCAATCTGAATCATTGAGTTAAGAAAAAATTTATTATCTATTCATTATATTCAAAATGTCAACATTCTCACTCAGCCAGTTCTCTAGTGTAAACCACTTCATCAGTCACATAAATCACAGATTCTTACTAGAAAATGGAGGAGTTTATCATGAACCTGTTAAGTCAGTAAAGCAAGTGATTATTCATAAGTATTATAACGTAAAAGTTTTGAAATACTGTAAAGTTCTAAACAATGATGAAATCAATGTTTTCATGTACTATTGTACGTTTGTAATGGAAATTACCTTTTAAATGTATTAAACAGTACATAAATTCATTAATTTATCGACAACCTTAAATATTATTTAGACGTTGATAATAATAGTACAACATTTTCTATATATTGTCTACAAATAATAAAAAAAAACGATATCAAATGCCCGACTATCCAAACTTGAAATATATGAAGTTCATCTGATTCTCCTTTTATTAATAATTTCTCTATAATATCTTAAGGTTACATTTGCAATTCTGTATATTGAATATGTTACTTTAATGCATTCTTTTATCAAGTTCTCTAAGAATTACATGAAATATTGTATACTATTAGCCTTCGTTTTTTAAATTGTTGACATTTTCCAAATTTATTTATCATTAGATATATATACTTCATTCAAATTACAACTTGATTTCAGATACAAACTAAGCAAACAAAATTATAAGAAGTTTAAATCATTGGTGCATTACCATAGAAGTGTACTTACATATACAATAAGTTTTTACTCTAAAACTAAAAGTATCTTCATTGTTTTGTTTGTTTGATTGTTTTTCCTAACAAATTCTCATTTTATATCTGTTGGATCATTAATTATTTTTTTACTTAATTTGTTAACTTTTTGTGTTTTTTTTCTTTTTCTACTTAAAACAAAATCAATTCGATTAGTAATTTAACGAAATAATTCAAATCATAACAATTAGCGGTTCATAAATAGACATTGTTAAATTCAGTACATTACATTAAGTAAAATAATTAAGAATTATTTAGTCTCTATTCCTTTTTTCTTCAACTAAGAACAGAGATTGAAGGTAACGAATTTGTATGGAGATTAAATTTCTTTATTTTAAATTTAATTTACTAAATGACTATCATTTTTAACTTTGAAATATAACCATATATAACTCTACCTATGTGCATATGTGTAGTTAGAAAATAGTTGTGTCTTGTAATTCTAGTTGCACACAACACTTATTTTGACGATTATACATGCTGACCATATGTTGAATGTTAGATCATTATCAAATACTTTTGTACGTTTTCAGTATAAAACAGAAGTATTTATGTGGATAATAATAATAACACTATTTATTTTGGTACAAGATAATTAATTCTGTAAGTGAAAATTTGATTCCAGTAAAAAAATGTTTACGGAAAATCAAAATCAAATCACAAATTGAACGGGGATCAGTGAAGTTCAACTATGTTGGATGAAAGATAGTTATCTACTGCAGGTAATGAACTAGGGTTGAACGATATTGCATGTTGGTTGGAGTTTTACATTAACACCACTGTATCGTGGCTCAGGGGTACAAAGGTTCAACATTCGCGCATAAGACTGGACGACTTCTGTTCGATCCCCGGATTTAAGGTTGTGAGTGTGCGCTCCTTGTTCAGTGAGGAAGAAAAATTCAAACTCGATATCATTTCATCAACTATAGGAATAGTACTGATATTATTCTTGAATTCAGTACAGCTTTTGATTTATTAATTAAAATATGGATTGTTATTTATCCATCATTTAGGTTCTTAAATTTATGAAAAAATTCCTAAATTTTAAAAACAAGATCGATTCAGAGATGATTTTCGTCACGAAATGAACTCAGCTGGAAAAAATTCAAATATTTTGTATTATTCTACTTGATTTAACAAGCTATATGACAAAAACGAAGCATTAGATTGTAAAGATGTATCCCTATCATCAGGTAACAATTCCTCAGTGTCGTAGTTATCACACGGAGTTAAAAAGCTAACATCATCATAATGTATCCTTAGATTTTACTATATGAATATGTTTGTTTTTACTTAAGATAGCTGACTGAGAATATATACGATTTTCGTAAATTTCTATAGCATCTCTCTCTCAATGGTCAATATGTCTTCACTAACCAGCATATTTCGGTTCAGTCAGTGAATTCTTAACACAAGAGCATAATTTTCACTGATAATTTTTTTCTTAGTATTAATTTTCACACAATTTACTTTTCTCATCCTGCAATTTGTGATGCGCTACAGTGGCGTGTTCGTATAAGAAATATGTCAATAGCATTAAGTGACAGAAATGTAATTTACAGTGAAAATTGCACTCATATATATAATACTGACGCATTATATAAGGATAAAAATGCCCGACAATACCGACGTTACACTTTTATCGCACATTGAAGACAGAATGGTTATCCTCATACATCAGTAGAAATACCTCCCAAGTAGAGTGTAATTAAAATCTTGAAAAATTATTTTACTTGACATATACTATGCACGTTTAATTAACGGAGTTTCAACAAGGTTCCTAAACCTTAAGTGTAAAAACAGATGTGAGTTGTGAAGAATTTAAAAACATCCAGAAATAATGATTGACAAAAGTAATGATTATTTTGCAGAATGCAGTCGATTTCCATAAGTCAACTCCTATTCTTTAACTTTTACAATTCCAGTTACAAATTGGTAAATATTAGTTAACAAAAACAATTAGTGTGAACATTAATTTAGTCTATGAAAAATTCATTGTGATTAAACGATAGATTGTCAATAGCTTAATTAGAATATATATATATATATATATATTTGAGGTAAATTATAATTTGAACACATCTAAAACAGAAATATGCAACTACTGATCTCTTTGAGAATTACAAATCTAACAAGTGAATTCATGAGTCAATTGAAGGAAGACCACCATAGAAAACCTGAAAGCACTGGATGGCCGTTTCGTCCAAGTATGGGACTCTTCAGCAGTGTGCATCCCGCACGCACGACTCAAATACAAAACCCACGGTCTCATGCGCGAACGCTTAACCTCTAGAGCACTGAGACGGCTTCGAGGTTTTCCATGTAGGTTGAACCGACTCATGAATTCAACTATTAAATTACTACAATCTCCACAAAACCTTTTTCCTGATAATAACCACAAATCTATTTATTTATTAGAAATACAGATTAGATAAGTAGCTTGTATTTTTGATCGTGATCAGTTGTTGAATTGAGGATTATTGCTTTTTCTATTTAAATATCTCATTTGAAGTTGTTCCCACCGAAACCATAAAGATACATTCATCACCTCAAAACAGACCGTTATTCATTAACATCGTGAGTGACGATGTCTTCTACATGTATAATGAGTACAATTTCCATGTTTCTTAAATAAAATGTGATTGAAGATGTGTGATTATCAAGACTACTTTAAACTTTGTTGCATCTCAAATCATTCCTGAAGCATGATTTGATGTATTTGGTTCAAATCACAAATTTTAACTGATATAAGCGTTAGCGCGTGAAACCGGATGTCAAAGGTTTGATTCTCGCATGAAGTGCCATGGATGATCGCCTCTGAGGAGTTCCATGCTAGGCCGAATCGGCTGTCTAGTGCTTCCGGCTTGTTAATGGTGACCTAACATTGATTGGTTAACGACTGCAATGACAAAAATTATCTTCAATAAGCATCCAAATTTATACATCACATCTCTTGCATTTGACTTGTAGAATCTATTTTATTTCTTTTCTTATAGAATGTCACCGCATAAAACTATATGCCTTCCTCATTA